AGAACATATAATATTGCTGATTCTTCTTTGGATCTTATCAAGGTGCTCCAGGTAAATCGCAGGGTCACCCGACCATATAGTGATTTTCCAAGCGTAGCTTAGATGTGGCACAAGGCCGAAAGTAGGGGGAACCCAGTGAGGATCAAATTCACTACTCATAATTGTTCTAACGAGACAAGCTTGCTAGCCATTACACCGCTTCGAGGTGCCCTGGGGTTACTCGACCATATATGGCAGCAATATTCTAAGCTTGGATGAATGGTAGACTTATAGATACATAAAATAGATTCAGGGAAGAAGATTTATTTTTCAATCTCTTCTTGTCCAGGTTATGAACTTTTCAGCGCCTCCGTCACGCACACACACGCATGTGCACGTCCGCGCTTTCGTGTGCGCGTCGGAATTGTGAATAAACTGTTCAAAGCTCATTTTTTATTCTGTTCTGTACAAGTATTTTCGACCGCTTCAGTCATTATCAAGAACTGGATTTTTTGTTGGCTACATTCTGGTATAGTGCCATCAGACAACGCAGCAGCGTAAGAAACAAGTATCATTAGACAGCTACTCAAAAACAATACCAAAATACTTGCAAAATCAAACAGTAAAAGCAAACTTATGATATGGAAGCAATATTCATACAACAAAAACAAACAACAATAAATAATAACAATTATAACTTAAGAGCCCGCATCCTTAAATCTTTATAAAGAACAAGTCACATCTCGTTTAAGTTACAACACTCATTGCTTACGTCACAACGCTCACTAGTTGTACGAAATTCATCAGTTGTCACTGAACCTGGACCATATTTCTCGTACTTTTCTTCCGAAATGAATCCGGACAATTTCTGACGGAAATTCCTCCTTGCCTGAGAAGGATTATCCGTAATTTTGAAAAGTCAATCATTAATTAACCAACAAAAATGTCTGTTGTTTGTAATGAATGTTCCGTCTACCCAATTTCACACACAAGGCTTGGCTCAACCCGTGGTATGGTTTTTCAGACCCTTTATATACACACATACCTAATATCAATTGGTAATTGATAGGGATAATTCCAAGGAGGACATTAATCAAAAGAGAGCTCAATGTAAGTAACAGAGCAATATAATAATAATAATAATAAGTAAAAACAAACCTTAAAAATCCATTACGGTTATAATTTATTTCATGAATATATTTAACTATTCTTCTCTTCAGACCTAAAGATTTTTTTAGAAATGAAATCAATTTATCTAGACAAAAGCAAGATGGAGAGGAAAAAAGAAAGAAAAAGGAAAAGAAAAAAAATTATAATAAAAAGGAAGAAAGAAAAATAAAAATTTCCATATCATTTTTCCTTAAAGGGCTGAACAAGTTAATATACAGGGTAAGGAAGGTGGTGATCAGAATTAAAAAAAAAAAAAAGGTACAGTAATATGCCTAATAGTCATGTCATTTCAGACAGCAAAAAATCATCATCGCATTATAATCATCACAATTTCAAATTAATAATAATATCCAACATCAATAAAACAAAGTAAATTAAATAAAATAAAAACATTAAATATAAAAATAAATTAAATAAATCAAGAGATAAATAAAGAATAAAATTTAAAGAAATACTTAAAAAAAATTAATTTTTTATTATAAGTATAACGCATTTTAAAGTCTTGTCATTACTCATATATATATATATATATATATATATATATATATATATATATATATATATATATATATATAGGTTTCATTGAAGATGAGTGACAAGTTATTTTTCTTGCATGCGCACAAGAGGTTTCTTTTTGGACGTAGAATAAGAAGTTTATACTCTATGTCCAAATAAGAAATTTCTTGTAGACATGCGAGAAAAAATATAATAATGAAGTTAATCGCAATGCCTTGTCAGTCATATTCAATGAAACTTGTATGAAAGAAGGATTGCTGCCCAAATACACGATATATATATATATATATAATAAAAGTGGACATTGAGATCAACACCATGCAGTGACAGTTTGTCTCATGCTTAAACGCAATCTTCAGGCCATGAGGATTGCGTTTAAGCAAAAAACAGACTGTCGCTGCTGGGTGTTGACTTCAATATCCACTTTAATATTTATAGACTCTTCCTCCTTGATACTGAGCACTTTAACTTATAAATATAGCATACCTTAAAACTCTCTCTCTCTCTCTCTCTCTCTCTCTCTCTCTCTCTCTCTCTCTCTCTCTCTTACACACACACACACTATCAAATTGATGAAAAATACCCGAACCTATCGAACAAGCGACTTGGATCAAATAAAATATCTTCCACCACAAAAGACTGTATTTTAAAATGTGTATAAAATATTTATTATTCATATAAATTAACAACAATGCTTATAAATATTTAATACATTCTTTTCTTTTAGCAGAGGTTATATCATCGTGATGGGACTACAACTTATCGAGTTGTATACGGTACACGCAATCTCCAGTCACCTTGATTGCTTCTTGTCACTGGATTAACACTGTCTAATATTGAGAGGCCACATAGTGTTGCGTGATGTTGAATGACTATAAAAATCGCGCGGTACCATCGGGTTTCTGGACGTTAGGTGACGA